CATTTTTCTTCACCGGTTCATTTTTTTCCTTTCTCAGTTGGTTCCAATTTTCCAGAGTGTTTTTGTGTTTTCTGTATATATCATCACATTTTCCTTTTTTATGTTTTGCATATCAGAATTTAATAAAATTTCAGGCGACATACATTTTCGTTTCTGGATCAGTTTAGGCTTCTATTCTTACCGTTGTAATGGTTAGCTGGCATGACGCAGTGACGGCTAGTGCCATTTAGTGCTAAAAACTGAGTTTAATTCCCAGTAGGGAGGCAACCAGACTGTTTTTATGCGTTTTGTGCTGTGCTCGAAAAAAAAATATACTGTTATGGGGTTGTCTGTGTGTGATTTGTATATATCTGATGCATGTTATTATTTTTAAAATTGGTACTAACGTAAGTTAGGGAACTGAGATCGTCATCACCTTGCTTGTAAGCACTTTTGAAAGACAGAATCGTCGAAAAAAGGCAGTCTAGCTTGGTGATTGGTTGTTCTCGTCTGTTAACATTTCAGATTCTTCGAACCTTTTTCACCTCCTGAAATGAGTATGGGGGAGTGGGGGAGAGGAGGATGGAGACATGGGGCATTTGACTTTCGATTCAAGATTGTGATGCATTTCTTGGACTGAAAAAACGGACATGTTTTAGCTTTTTGATAGCTTGAGAATATTCATGTATTATTACGGTATATTCATTCTTTGCTACGTTTAAGCGCAGTTTTCTTTAAAAAAAAGCTTTGGAAAATTTGTTATAAGCACGAAATTTGTCCTAATTTTCAGGGACTGGATGAAATTTATCAACAAATCGGCATGAGCGATCATAATTGTAGAAAACAAGTGAATATTGCTATATTTTGTTGGATGGAGCGGAAACGCAAATGGTAGCAGCTATGAGCAGTGTAGTAGAATGTCTGGAATTACAACCCGCGGAAATCAGCGGTTTGAAAGCTGCCGGAAAGGTAATTTTTTTGCATTTTTTTGTAATGCTTTTGTGCCATGGATAAAAATGTGAACTAATTTGAAATAACAAATCACTGAGTGCACTGATGTAGCTTTTCCAAAAATGGAAAAATACATCGGGAATAAGAATGGACAGCGATGAAAAAACAGCGAAAGTGGAAGGATTAAATACAGTTAGCTCTTAATCAGGAGCGACTCTTCTTTGGCCACTGTTTTGCCTATTTTAACGTCCCCTTACAGAAGAAAGTGCTGTTGCTTGGCAGGGAAAAGCATACGAGATCACCGAGTGAAGAATCGTTACGTGCCAAGCTTCGCAAGGAAGCGCGTCGCCGCGGTCTGAAGCAAAAATTGGAATCGTTGCCAAGCGATGACGATATAGAGGTATTTTGATCAAAAATTACTGGGTTATCGAGGCTGGAAGGGACGTGAGGGCGGGAGAGGGAACACAAAGTGAAGCTCCTGGAGAGGGAAAGGGAAGGAGAAGCAACGAGGGGTTTTGAAGAGAGTTTTCTTCACTTTTAGCACCACTGAAATTTACAGGTCCATAGCTTTTTTCCCGCCGACGCATTCTTTCTGTCTATTGATGCAACTTCCGGAGTTCGTATTTGCTAGGGTGGACTACTGAACAGTGTGCTTTTATATCATTGAGCTTCTTCTGATTGTTTAGTTTCCTGCAGTCTTTTTTTTTTTTTTTTTTTTTTTTTTTTTTTT